CCCCAAAACCCCAAAACCCCAAAACCCCAAAACCCCTTTTAGTTTATTTAATAAATTAGTAAAATAATAATAAGCATGGTTAAGCTCTTGATTAAAAAGATCAAATTTAGCAACATTCAGGATGCAAACGGCACACCCTTTGGCACAAAGGTAGACCAGATAAATGTTACTCTCTCAGATAAGTGAAGCACTGTATTAAGTAACCTTAAAGACCAATGGTCTCAAACATGCCCTCAAATGGTTGCATGGATTGAGGATTCAGACAAACTTAAACTAATGCTAACAGGAAAGATTATTGACTGGAACAATACTTTCGCAGACTATGCCAAGATAAAGGAAGGAACTACTCTAATATTAATGCATAAATCTCCTCCAAAAGAAGCAATAGCAAGTGCTCAGAAAACCATCGGAGATGACTCAGAGAGCAAAGATATGGACATCGATGCCCCAAAAGATTCAGAAAAAGTAGTTCCCCTCCTTGAAAGAGTAGAAGAGGAAGACATTGACAGGAACGCTATGAACCAGTTAATCATGCTAGGATATGATAAGAATCTGAGTAATTTTTTACAACTAATATTTTATCTTTTGCAAGTTGTCTATATACTTTAGTGTTTGCTTCCTGCCATATGAAATAGACTCAGTTTAGCTTATACTTTAAGCTATATCATTTAAGACACCCATTTTGTTGTCAAGGCTTGAGAAATAACAGTTAAATATAGTAAAAATAGCTCTACGCAAAGTTGGAACTGAATACGGATCCCTTGGATATGATGGGTTGAATAAAGCCATTGATTGGATCCACAAGAAGATGCTTGAGGATGAGCAAAAACTTCTTCCAAAGCCTCAAGAAGTTAAAAAGACAAAGAAAGAATTAGAAGAGGAGAAGCAGAATGACAGATTAGAGCTGATTAGAAGAGCCAGCTCCGAAGCCAAGAAAAGATACAAAAATCTTGAAAATAGAATGGATAACAGGTCTACCAATATTTCGATTGACTGTCAAAATATTTCAAATGTCTACTCTTTTGGTAAAGGATCAAAAGGACAGCTCGGACTTGGAGAACATTGACTCCTAACTTGTTTCCCAACAAAGATAAGAGAATTATCTGGAGTGAGAATCAATAAAGTTGTTTGAGGACCCAGGAACACCTTGTTTCTTTCAGGAGATAATCATTTGTTCAAAACAAACATGGCAACATGCAAACCCCAAAGAATTTTCAAGAGAGAATTGGCCCATTTAAAGATAGTTGACATAGCAGCTGGCTCTAGTCATTTCATGGTTCTTAACGACGAAGGTCATGTTTTCTCGTGGGGAGACAATGACTGAGGACAACTAGGGATTGGAGAGGGAGCCAAACAAAACATTCCAAAAAGAATAGAGTCTCTTAAAAGGATTTTCATAAACAGAATATCATGTGGAGCAGTCCATAGCATGGCTTTGTCTAAAACAGGAAATGTTTTTGTTTGGGGAAGTAACATTAGAGGGCAATTAGGATATGACCCTCAATCTTGAAAACAACTTCCAACCCCAACCAAAGTCTGTCTGATGCTAATAGATTCTAATGATGAAGAGATCAAGGAAGAAGTAATACCTCGTCAATCACAAGATACTATCATGAATGACGAAGAAGAAAAAATCCCAGAGTTTGAAATTCCAGCAGAGCCAGCTCTAAATAAGAACGAAACACTTGATCTTGTTACTCACGGAGTATGTGGCACATGGAGTTCTATATTTGTGACTGAATCATCAAAAATAAGACTTCATGTCTGGGGAGGAGAAGAAGAAATCATAAATTCTTCATACATTCTTTACCAAAATCAAAAAGAAGGAAATAGTATTAAATATCTTAAATCAAGAGGGGACGTCATTCTTTACATTAATAAGCTAGGAGAATTGTACGAGTACAGCATTAAAAATAAGAATGTTAAATACATCGAGCAATTGCCAAGGTTCTCAGACCTCTCCATGGGAACTAAATATATCGGAATTGTGCATCACGATAACACCCTTCATATGAAAGGACTAAACAAGGATGGACAGTTAGGAACTGGAGATAAAGAAAATAGACTTGAAAATTTTGAACAGATAACTTCTTTGGAACCTACAAGAATTGATAAAATAACATGAGGTCTTTCAAACACTTGACTTATTTGTAAAGAAACTCTTTAACTTTTAGCCAAACAAGAAGAGACAAAGATGGATATCAACATGGCCAAAGTTATTTTCAAAAGGCTTTTTAAGTCAAACGATTCTAAGATTACAGACAAGATGTTCAAAGATAACCAAAACCTTGAGGACCTACTGATGCTTATAATCCAACACATTGTAAGACTCCTGACTCATAAATAGGGTTCAAAATCATTTAACTACACGAACAGCAGCTCAAAAATTTTATCAGATATCATTGAGGAATGAGAGATGCCTGACATCACTGATGTAAGATTTCTTTTAAACTTTAGACTTCTAAAATCCAGCATTTAATCCAACAGCTTAAAGAGCTGGCCCATCTAGTAGTCAATTGGGGAATGTCCAATAAGAAATACGAGGCTGTTATAATAAAAGTGATCGATTCCCTTACTGCCAGATTGGCCAGACTCATAGAGATTAGAGCCAGGTAACATAGCTTTTATATAGTCATAGATATCATCCTGAGGAAGAAGAGGAAGACATCAAAGAGTTTGAAATGGAAAGGATCAAGCAAGAGCTTGAAATGAGAGGCCAATCAGCCCAAAACCAAGCTGAACAGAGAATGGCAGATTATAGGAGAAGAGTCCGTGACGAAGCTGGACATGATAATCCTGACCCTAATGAATTACCAAGAGGTCCTCAACCTTTCCAAGAAGAAATGAGTAAGAATTATAGCTTTATAATCTAGTTGATGAAGATATTTCAGACCAAGAACATTCAAACCAAGATGAATTTGAAGGTGAAGGTGAAGAATATCAAGATCCAACTCCTCCTCCACAAAGCACTGGAATCAGACTTGGAAACTCAGAATCTGAAGAGCTTGATCCTAAAGAAGCGAGGCTCAAATGGCTTGAGAACTTAAAGAAGAAGTAAATAAAAAGGTTATTTCAATAATATATCAAAGGAGGGGTTTTGGGGTTTTGGGGTTTTGGGGTTTTGGGG